AATTTCTGTTTTTTCACACTGTATATGTAGTTTGTCGCTTCCTTTTGTATAAGGTTGTGAGTAGTCTAGAAGAATAAATGAGTATGTGTGTCTTAAATTAGCATACTAAAAAACTGCTTTTTGAAAATGCCCTTGGCTCTGAACACGTATGGATCCCAGTGCACCACCTTCCACTGAATTTTGGAGAAGTATGATAATTTCTATCACTAATTTTCCTTTTTTACTTTATTCTATCTTGCTAATTTCGCCTTTTTTGAACCACGGTATACTAATTTTGCCTTTTACTTGAGGCTTTTGCTACCATGAATGCGAAATATACTTTTGCTACCAAAGTGTAGACACAGTAAGTCTGAACTTATTAGATGAGGTGGTCAATTGATATCTGCCATCAGCATTTTACAGTCTGACCATGTAAACTTTTATTTTAACTGCAGATGGACATGCGAATGTTTTCTCAGGATAATTTGATATGTACCGTATGGTATTGTTTCCTTTTCTCCTCTGTTAATTAGTTTTTTAGTGGTGTTACCACAAGATCATGGTGTAGAATTATAATTTTCTCTTCTTTGATCTACTCCAGTTTCATTTATTTGTGTTAGCGATCATATCTAGGAGATTGTGATTTGTTTCATTCAGCATGCACGGGTCTAACATAGAGGATGCCAGGAAATAATTGATGAGTTGTTGTCTGTCACCCTCATTCCTCACTTTATCTTTGGTACGATGCATGATATTTTCTGTCAACATGTTCAGGACTTTGCAATCCTTTAGCTCAAGCAGCTAAATTGTGCTCTGTTGTCAGTGTGACCATATAGGCACAACACATCATGATTCTTTGATTTTCATGATACATGATGGCTCATGTCGTGCATTTTTTTCCCAGGATTTCACTAATGAGGTGGACATTTCTGGATGATTTTCTACATGTACAAACTTACCTGTGTATCAACCATGAAGGTCAACTATTTTGATGTTTCTCTATGCATCATATGTTCTACGGTTGACCGCTATGCTCCCAGGATGCACTCAAAATACTCATATATTTGTTTCCCAGATTATTATCAATCCAAGGATCAAAGAAGAAAAAAAGGGACATAGCAAAATTGACTTTAGAGAGCTGGACCATGATCTACAAAAATGATCACAGTTAGGGCAGAAGAATGATGAAGCCCCGTGCTTTTCTAACCCAGTGGTCCCTTCTGACCTAGCTAAGGTAGAAAACATTAATCATGTTTTCATTGTCTGTATATATTTCTGTGATTGCTGAAGGTAAGGCAAAGAGTTGTTGTAGGCATGAAATTTGTGAAGTTTGTAATGACTAGAGATTTCAGCAACGGTCATGGTTACAAAATTTCATCTTGGTCACTTGATATGCTTAACTTTTTTTAAGATAATGGAAGATTGTTTTTCCGTCCTCTGCATCGTTCCAACTAAACATGTTTATTTTTGCCTGACCTTGGATCCTACTAATTTGTTATACAACCTTGTTTCTCTTGTGCTAACTCTTCATATCAAATTCCTTTTACATACTATGCAGTTATGATTTATCTGCACAGTAACCCAACCTGTCTTCCTTCCAGTTACAGCTGCTATCTCTGTTTGTCTCGTGCATATTTTGAAGTATAGTGCTTTGGTTGATTACAACTATGTATCATTCTTTCACTATTTCAGAGAAGATCATATGGACATTTAGGGATAAGATGGAAGGGAGGTAGTTCCCTATCTGGAACTGTTTAACGTCTGCTATTTCATCAGACTAATAAACAAAGGTATGACTGGTATTTCTAAGAAACGGAGGTCCATGTGGGACACAAGATAAATTTCTCCTGCTATTGTTGAGACCAATGAAGATGGGTCTCCTCCTAAGTACATAGATAATCGCCGTAAAAATTGCTCTCCAGCCTCTGCTCCTCCATCGAACTATTAACATGCCATGTTTATTTATTTTCCCATAATATGTCTCATCTACTTGCAGCCATGGAATATTCGCATATCTTCACTACAAAACGTGACCAAGATGGAAGAGGCCCTCCTACAAGCTTTGCTGCATGTATCTATTCCTTTTGATTTTTATGTTGCTTGTAAGACAACTGCCCAACTAGCATTTATAATTTCTTGTGGATTTACATGGTGTGCATGAAATTTCTCTTACATGCAAACTTGTATACTTGAAAATCAGGGTTCTATGCATTACTAACTAGAATCCGGGGATTTTGTTTTGTTTTGAACACAATCAAATCAATTAGTTTTCCAATGTTTACCCTTGTTTTTATCCGACACTATTTCTTCTGGCATTTAGACATGAAATGTTCGGGACTGGACTATAAAAGAGATGAAAGAGGGGATACTTTGGAGAACGATTGTGCATGTTGCTTCTCAAGTTTAGCTTGTGAATTTTAGTGTTGAGATATTTTTGTGAAGAATAAACTAAAGATTAACATGTCGAGAGCATCTTGACTGTGCACATAAAAAATGATAAGCTGGGTCAATGACTGGGAGAATTATGGTTTTATGTTATCCTGTGTCATATCTCATATTTGTGTACCAAAAATGAACATCCAATATTCCACATAATGGAAATTCTTACTATTTGTGACCGTAGTCGTAAAGATTTTTTTATACTACACACCGACTACTTGAAATCTATCATTCGTTTATAGAAGTATAATTTTGTTGATTTTATATAACAATTGCCTCTTAACGGAGATGAACAAAGAAACATCTTCTAACGGTTGTACGTGCATTGCACGTGCACGCTTACTAGTAACATAAAACATTTGATGGTATATGTTGAGCCTAGAGAAGATTCAAGGTCAAACGATGAAGCAACCAACCCTTTGGCTTCAAACTTGACTCGTTTTTCTCAAAACCTAAGTTCTTTCTAATAGATGGTCTGATTTCTAAGCATTGTACATCTCAACTATTGAGAAACCATATCAAACTTCTACCATGGCATATTGATGTCATATAATGACAACATGTCAGGTTTCATGTTTTTCCGACTACGTTTCATCTTCAGAATTATTATTTTTGATAAACTTCATGTTCGGGGCCAGCTCTTGGCATCCGATTGTTTTGACTTTCTTTTATTTTCATGGATAAGGCTGAAACATAAAGTAAAGAGAACAAATATGATTTTGGCCCAATTTTCGAACTTCTTCATGCACTTACAGTTGAAATTTGAATTGTATTCAGTATATGCCTAAAAATACATTAAATGACTTAAATATAGCAAACAGACCCCAAAAATGCCCAATTATGACATGGAACATGTGAGTGTATGTTGACAATAGATTTTATTTAAGGTCAAACCATGAAGCAACCGACATGTCACCTTCAAATCCGACCATTTTCCTCTAGAAACCATGATTCTTCCTCGGAGATGTTCTGGTTTCCAAGCAGTGTATGTCACTACTTTTGTGAAACCTTCCCAAATTTTACCACAACCTCTAAAGATCATATAATAATCCCGACACCATGTTCCATGTTTTTAGTCTCTGTTTGCATTTTCTAGAATTGGAAGAACGGTAAACTCCATGTTCGGAAACGGATACGGGAACCTTGCATGTTTGGAACTTCCTTATTTTCTTGGGTATAGCCTAAAAATTAGAATCGTTAACGCAAGTATGATTTTCCAATTTATTTTTACCAACCTTTTCATGTTACACACAGGGGAAAAACAATAAACAATAAAAAGGAAAAGGGGAAAAAGAAATTAAAATGAATTAAAATAATGAAAATAAAGAATGAAATAAAATAAGAGAGTGAAAAAACAGAAAAAATGGAAAGAAAGAAAAGAACAAAATGGAATCTCTGCCAAGTGTTTTTCTTTTGCCAAGTGTAACACTAGACAAACCTCAAGTTTGCTCAGTGTAAGATTTTTTGCCGACTGTGTTTTCAGAACCACTCGGCAAAAGATATGTTTGTCGAGTGCCAAAAAAGTAAATCAAATGAAAGAAAATAAATGAAAAAATGATAGGAAAACAATGTCCGCCGAATGTTTTTCTTTTGCCGAGTGTTACACTAGAAAACCCTCCAAATTTGCATAGTGTGGGACTTTTGCCGCCACAGGTCCACCTTATCTCGAGTGGCCTTAGGGCCATGGAGGCACATTGGACCTCGGTCCTTGCCGGTGGGAGGGTTCCTGTTCTGGTTTTAGTTTTTTTAAAAGTTGATTAGGGCTTGTGTCCCGCTCAAGAAGGTGTGGCGGCGGAGGCGGCTCCCTGAAGATGGACTAAGGTCCTCGCCGCCTTGCCCCCGTCTCAACGGTGCGTCCAGTGTCATCGGAGGATGTGTGGACGTGTGTCTCTGATGAATGTTGTGGGATTCGATTGGTATTGGTCTTCGATGGATCACATTAGATACAGTCTTTGTTCGTGTGTCTACATGTTGCATCCTTTCGATCAACGTTTCTTTTCATCAACGACGGTTGTTTTTCTGGTGCGCTAGTCCGGTAGGGCCTTAATACGACACTCCGCGACTGTCTGTATAATAAGTTTTACCCAACTTCAATGAGGGAGGGGCGATGACGGCGGCACGCCTTCGGCTCACTTCAGTCTTTGTAGTCATCGCTAGGCGGTTTAGTTTTGGTGTTCCTTATGCTTGCGCGATGGATTGATCCTAAGTTTATTCCCGCAAAAAGAATTGATCCTATGTTTTTCCCGCAAAATAGAAAGAATTTTGCCGAGTGTGTTTTGGAATGCACTAGACAAAAGCTCCGTTTGCCAAATGCCTTGGAAAAAACACTCGACAAAAGGTCGGATCACGTACAACTAGCAGTCCAAACTCCAAAGTTTACACCTCAATAGGATTTGAAGGAAGGTTCTTGGAACCTTCGTTTCAGATAATCATATATGGAAGCTAATCCCACAAGGATAGAATTGATCCATACGTATTAATTGCATCTCCATATATAAGATAGTACCAAGGGTACCTTTCCCCTACTACACCGTAAACCAGTCGATCGAAGCTAAGGATCTGCATCTTCCTGCCGACCATCCATGGCGATGAAGACGAAGACGAAGAAGGGAGGGACGGGGAGGAATAAGAGGAACGAGACGAAGCTCATCGAGGACCCGGCCAAGCGGCAGGTGGCCTTCTCCAAGCGCCGCCCCACGCTCTTCGGCATGGCCGGCGACCTCTCCGCGCTCTGCGGCGTCCACGTCGCCGTCGTCGTCTTTTCACGCTCCGCGCGCGGCAACGCCTACGCCTTCGGCAGCCCCTCCGTCGACGCCGTCCTCCGACGCTACCACGGCAACGTCCAAGATGATGACGACCATGGTGATGACGATGACGATGCTGGCGCTCTGGCGGGGTTGCGGAGCGAGCTGGACGACACCAAGGCGCGTGTGGAGGCGGAGAAGAAGCGCATGAAGAAAGTCGAGGCGAACGTGGAGCGGGCCATGGCGGCAAGGTCAACTGCGCTGTGGTGGCAGGCCGACGTCGAGGCTCTCGGGGCAGCGGAGCTGCCAGAGTTCGAGACGGCGCTCCGGCGGCTCAGGGACACCCTCCTCCGCCGGGTCGACGCGCTGCAGCTACCTCTAGCCGCTGCACCGCCTGCCTACATGAACATGTAGCGGCTAATTAGCGATACCTTACCACATCTTCGATCTTGTCTCAAACGAAAAGTACGGATGCATGCATGCATGCATTATGTGTATGATGCTCGCAATATCGAGTACAACCATTAACTTCACGAAGCATTTTGTTTTTTTTATATGGAAGGTCCGATTTTGTTTTTTGCCCATAATGTCATGTCATGGATGTCATTTCTTCATAAAAATTCACATCTTGGATAGACAACTGTACCATGTTTCTACAAAATAAGTTCCAAATTATATGGAAACCTCATGAGTAATCGACTCCAAATCCAAATCAGATCCGATGACGTGCGACTTACTATAGGTCAAGCGGAGAAGTCGCGATGGACGATCTGAAGAAATCACGGCGAACCATATATATGTACATACTCATGACCACCCAGCTCCCGGCAGCTTGCATGAGCAGCAGCCGCGGTGACCATGGACGGCCAGCGGCTTGCAAGAGAGGCGATGGTGACGGCCACTCTCGCCTGACGCTGCTCCAGACACGATTACGTGCTGGTTCCGACCGCACTCGCCTGCTACGGAGCTGTCCCCGCCGACCCCGACTACTGCTCCGGGGCTCCCGGCGACCCCGGCGGCGAGGCTGAAAGGTCGACGTGTGACTGCTCATTGTCATGGTTACCGTGCTCATGTCGGGCTCCCGACCACGAAGATGAATTTGCCCCTGTCCTCCCGGGTGGTCAACAATCTCCTAATACGATCTAGCCATTAGCTGAGAGAAGAGAGGGGACGCGGGAGAGCTAGCTAAATAATAGGATCTGAGCTTACAACAAACGACATTGCATGCATGCACAATCACGTTCAACACATATAAGGTAAGTGGCCTATAGCGAACCAATCTCTGGTTGAGATGGTTAGGTGGACAGTGGTATCCCCAACCCACTAGGGTTCAAATCCTGGTGCTTGCATTTATCCTGGATTTATTTTAGGAATTTCGGCGATACGCTTTCAGTGGGAGGAGACGTTCCCGTCGACTACGAGGCCCTCATAGGGGTAGGGTGTGCGTGTGTGCGTTCATAGGGGTGAGTGTATGCCCGTTTATATGAGCGCTTGCGTCTGTACTGTGTTCAAAAAAAGGTAAGTGGCCTATCTCCTCAGTTACTATTTGTCTTTTTCCCGAGAAACTTCCAATCTATTCATCTTCAATCATGACAGTAAAAGGAACAACAGAGGTAATAAAGATTGCAACCATGTCCGTGGACCACCTAGTGACGACTACAAGCACTGGAGCAAGCCCAAGGCACGTCGCCGTCATCGTCCCTCCCTCACGGGAGCCGAGCAAACCTTGTTGTAGTAGACAGTCGAGAAGTCATCGTGCTAAGGCCCCGTAGGACCAGCGCACCAGAGTAGCAACCATCGTCAATGATGAAAGTCGTAGATTAGAAGGATCAAACATGTAAATACTCAAATGAAAATGAATAAAGACCGGATCCAAACAGATCCACCGAAGACTAGCACAGACCAAATCCTGCGAGATCCGACGGAGACAAACCTCCACACGCCATCCAAGGATGCTAGACACACCATCAGGACGGGGTTAGAACGTGGAAGACATTATTCCTACTAAGGGACACCGCCGCCGCCACACAGCCCCAACCAAGACGCTGAATCTAACAAGAACGAGAATAGGGCCCCTCTCGCCGGCGGGGGCCGAGATCCTCCGTACCTCCATGTCCTAGAGGACATCAGAGATGGGGCGGACCGGCGACGACGCCAACAGGAGAAGAAGAGCTTTTCTTGTGGAGGAGGAAAGAGAGCTGGGTTCAGCTACCTCCCCTTTTTCCTTTACTCCCCTTTCTCTAGGAATCCATAGGTGATGGGCCGCATTGGGCCCAATAACTCTTTTTTTTTAACTTTTCTCTTTTTTTCGGGCAGATCCAAATGCTCTTTAAAATGTTTTTATCTTTCAAACCTCAACTCTAACTCTGACATGTTATATATGAAAATTCATCAGAAAATATGTAGATTTTTAAATATGCTATTATCTTGCATGTTAATCATTTCTAAAATTACATTTAGGGTGCAACATTAATTAATACCTTCCTTATATGTGGTATTTCGGAAATGCCTCCTACCTCAATTATGTAAACAAGTGGCTTATTGTTGATTTCCATATTGTTTGAAATTGTGCCCATAAAGATTTTTGGAAACACCTTGAGTACACTAAAAAATCATCCAACCTTTATTTTTTGCGCAACACCACTTATCATGTTGTTTGTTGTGTGCCATCGTGAAAGATTTCAATGAATTTGTTGATGTCGTCGAGTGTGTGTATGAGGGGTTATTTTTTTGTCTTCCATTGCAACGCACAAACATGTTTGCTAGTAGTACTAATAGGTGACGATGAGCCCTCGGTGGGATTAGAGAGAAAGGGCCTTAGAGAATTCGGTTCCACGTGAAGCTTGAGCTTGAACATTCAACTTTAGCATTTGTCCTTGATACATAGGAACCACACTTCGCTTCCAACAAAAGAAAAGAAAAAACAACATGCATGATGATGTTTGCTTTATCTCCTATACGTTAGGAACTTAGGACAGGTCGTCCGATCCTGCTAAAGAAAGACCTGCATGCAGGTTGCATGTGATCATGGGGAGAATAATTCTTGCAGTGAGCGTCATTATTATTCCCAGGGGTTCCCCTGACATCGGCAAAGAACACGATCCCACTCTTTACAGCGGGCAGCCAAAGATCAGTGGGCACTAAAGAGAGAGATGCGTACAGTGCGCCGTGGGCAAGGAATACTGTACCTACTACATCCATACTACAGTAGTATATATACGCATGCATGCATGACCTCCCATTTGCATATACAGAGAGGAGAGGAGAGGACAATCAATCAATAGACCAGCTAGGTAGAATATATGGAGCTACAGAACGACCGGCGAGACCGGTCTTCCATGGAGTCGGCGCAGGATCTGGTCAGGAAATTCAGGTCTCTCCTGCAGCTCATGGCCGCACGGTCTGGCGACTACGAGACTCCAGAGGACGCGGCGGTGACCGCCGCCATGCTGGCTGGATGGCATCGCGACGTTGTCATCGACCTTGCCGCCGCGAGCGAGGGGGACACCCAGCTCCATCGGGCGGCCGCTGGCGGGGACGGCGTCTGCTACCGCAGGTGCGTGGCCTTGGCCTGCGATGGCGACAGTAGCCGGTTGCTCGCGTGCAACGGGGACGGCGACACGCCGCTGCACTGCGCTGCCAGGGCCGGGCACACTGGCATGGTTAAACACCTCATTGGCCTCGCGCAAGGGGACGGCCAGGACGATGGTGAGATGGCCAAGACCATGGTGAGGATGCAGAACAACCGTGGGGAGACGGCGTTGCACGAGGCCATCCGCTCTGGCTATGAAAAGGACGTGGTATGATATTATAAAAAATCCCTCTATTTTAGAGAATTCAACCTGTAGTTTTGTTTTAAGTTAAAATAAATAGTTATTTTCGTATTTTACACAAAAGTCCCTGTCTTTTCTTGAAATCAACCCGCCGACTGGATTCAAGTCACACCCGTTATTTTACATTTTTTGAAAACCTCATGATATTTTTACGTCTTAGGATTAACCATATTCAACACACGTTTTTTGTTGTTTTGTGTGAACACGGAGGCCATCACCGGCGAGGGTGAGGAGGATAAATGGCAACACAAATATGATGCTTCGCAAAAATAAAGGAGATGAATCTATTATGGTCTGATCTCGCAAAAAAAATCTATTATGGTCTTGAGTGATGGTTGTTGAGTTAAGAGCGTGTGTTATGTTTTCTCTCCCGTTGCAATGAACGGGCTCTTTTGCTAGTATACAATAAAAAAAATTGGGTTTCTGGTCGTCCGTCATGGCATTTTGCAGAAAAGTCCCTCTGTTTCGAAGAATTCAATCCGCATTCCTGTTTTAGGAAGATGGAATCGTTTTTTTTTCGTATTTTACACAAAAGCCCATGTGTTTTCTTGAAATCAACCCGCCGTCCGGATTTAAGTTACAATAAAACCGTTATTGTACTTAAAAAAAACCCATTACCTTTTAGGTAATTCATCCGCGAATCATATTTAAGTCAAACAAATGTTTTCTAAATCATCCATATCTTTTAAACCGTAACTCCAATTTGAACATGTTATATATGAAATTTTATTATAAAAATATGTAAAATATGAATATGAGCTTAATTTTACCTGTTAAGTATTTTTAAATATTATTTTGGAAGATATTGAAGTCAAACAAATGATTTTCTAAATTATCTGTATCTTTTGGACCGTAACTCCGATTTTAACATATTATATATGAAATTTGATTAGAAAAATGTGTGGAATCTGAATATGATGTTAATTTCACTTGTTAATTTTTTAAATTTTTTTGGAAGCAAACTTAGAATTTATAGCGCACGATCCATTTTTCTTTCGTACCGGCGGCGATCCGGATTGCAAATAAACACCCCACTATAATCATATAGGGAAAAAACATCAACAACAACACATGCATACCACTGAAAAACGTCCCAGAGGAAAACAACAGATTTCTCATCGCGGGAGTGAGAGAAAGTGAGAGAGAGGGAGAGGGAGGAGAGAGAGACGCCTTAGGATTAAGCATATTCAAACATGTTTTGTTTTATGTGAACACTGAGGCCATCGCCGGCGTGGATGAGAAGGAGGATAAGCGGCAAAACAAATATGATGCCTCGCTAAAATAAAGGAGATGGACCTATTGTGGTCTTGAGTGATGGTTGTTGGGTTACGAGTGTGTGTTGTGTTTTTTCTCCCGTTGCAACGCACATGCTCTTTTGCTAATAATTACAAAACACAAGAGGCAAACAAGGCATTATATTCCTCCACATATATTAAATTGTTTCCACCGTTAATTTGGGATATTGACGGTCGAGATTCGAAGATGTTTACGTTACATCGAAATATGTATTGTCACGTACAATCAGCCCACATGTCTTTCTATTGAATACATGTCCGAGAAAAGCAATTAGCAAAAAGGAAAAAAAAAGTTACCCATAGGCTTACGCTTGGTATTGGTAAAGATTTTCTATGGCAGCCAACTAAAGAAGAGTCCAACAGATAAATCTGTGCAGATAAAAAAACAGATCAATCTGTGATGTCAGCAAGTCAATATATGTTGATTCAGCACGTTATTATGAAATACTATATAGCAAAAGGATTAATCCTGAGGCTTAGGTTGGTTTGAAACAGGATGACAATCTACCTATACTGAGATTATAAATATAAAATACGTGCGTATGTAGCAAAGAGATCCATCATATAAAGCACCTTCTAACTTTCTCCGGTCAGGTCCCTAAAAAAATTAAAAAACTTCTCCGGTCAGGTTGATTCCCATCCTATACTCCCTATTTTTAACTATATTTTTTTGAGCAAACTATTTTTAACTATCTATACTGGACATGTTAATAAATAATTTCAACTCAATTTATTTTCGAAAATTCCCATAAATATTTATCATGATCATTGCAGACGACTTTGTACTTACATGTAACATTCCACATTAGTTGTGCATGTATTTCAAATATCATAAAAAAGATCACAAAATTTGTCTATTATATAATTATAATTAAAACAGAAAACAAACAAGCCATCATGTTTGTCCAAAAAGATTAAAGTATCTTGATCGTCCATATCAGAAATTAACTTTTGAGATTAAAAAATGTAGCATTACATACAAATATTATCACGTACAAATAATTTGACATGTCATGTGTCGCGTCCAAATAGTCTAAAACGTCTTTGGTTCAACTCGTGTCATGGAACCTAGCACAACTTAGGAGTAATTCCTCTGAGTTTGAGTTGGAGTCGGGTAGCATAAAAACCACGCACGTTTTTTTTAGCACCACCAAACCGCCAGATCCTATTCGGTGCTCAAGCCGGATACCGGCAAACTGGCCAACTGGCGCACACTCCCGTCTCTGCCTTGGGCCGGCCCACTTTCATTCTTCCTTTCTATTCTAGAAGGGAAACGATTGAAACCGGTCGACCGGCTGAAACTCCGCCGGTCATATCCAAGGTGGCAGTAGGCCAACGCACTCACTGCTTAAAGTCTTTCCTTGTCCTTTCGTCTGGACGCATCCCTAGCCATTCATTCCATTCAATCCATGCTCGTCTTCTTGCTTGTGACCTCCAAAAAATAAGTCACTCGCCAGCGATCGCTGTCGATTTCGGCCCAACCTGCTACTTCGGGAGGTACCCGCTACCGCGCGAGGCAAGAGGGAGGTCATGGCCGGCGACGCCGACAAGGTGAGGTGTTGCGGACTGGCCGGGAGATTTGTTTCAACCGAAGAGGATGGTGATGGGCGGCGACAGCGGTGACCGCCATTATTATTTTTTCCTGCATCGTTTCTTTTGCTGGAGCCACTTCTATTTTTGCTGGAACCTTCTTTCAATTTTGCTATGAATTGAGACGATGGTGGTGCCATAGCCGCCATGATTTTTTCTTGCTGGAACTAGCATTCATTTTTGCTACCATGGTCTTTGATTTTGATGGAACCAGCCACTTTGTTTGCTACAAACTGGTCTTTTCATTCTATCACCCATCTTTGGATTTTTGCTGGAACCAGCCTTTTTTTTTGCTACAATCGCCTTTCTGTTTTGCTGGAACTAGTACCTATTTTTGCTACAACCGTGTGGTGTTTGTGCGGAACCAACATATTTTTCTACCACCGTCTTTTTGTTTTGCTGAAAACGGCCTAATTTTTTGCTACCACCGGCTTTGGCACTACCATGTCGCCATTATTTGTTGCGAGCGACGCCATGTCGCCATTAATGCTGCAACTGGGGGTTGGCAGCACCGGTGAGGAACAATTTGTGACTGACGCCATGGTGGCGCTACCATGGATGCAGGGACGGGGATGAAAAGCTGCTACGGGGCTTTTTTGTGATTGTGACGGCGAGCTTCGACGGCGCGTATCGGAGGCGAGGCAAATTGACGAGGGCGGCAACACGTGATGCCGGACGTGGGAGAAGACAGGGGCGGCCACTATGTTTTTCTTAGTGGGGGAAGTGAAGGCCGAGAGAAACGGTGGGCAACGAATAGATAGAACAGTTTACACGCGCGGGATCGAAGGGCTACGGTGCGACTTGCCCAAATTTGGGTCGGCGCGCCGGCACCTATGAGTGCCCTTGTAGCAAGGTTCAAAAAATATGCGTCGAACTGGGGATCTCTAGAAAACCAACATACGGCACTAACCAAAAGTGCCACTTTACCACTTGTGACAAATATAGGTAGGTACGGCTTTGTTGTTAGTTAAACATCGCAGTGCTTTCACTATTTTTATTTTTCGGTTTTTGTTTTTGGCGGTTTTCTTCCCTTTATCTCTTTCTCTTTATTTTTTTATTTTCTTTTTTAAAATTCGTTAACCTTTTTAAAAAATCGTGAACTTTTCTGAAATCCACGATCTATTTTTCAAATTTTTGAACTTTTTTCAAAACACAAGTACTATTTTTTCAAAATCATGAACTTTGTTCAAATCGATGAACTTTTCCTCAGATTAGATGAACTTTTTTCAAAATGAATGATTTTTTTCTCACTTTATGAACCTTTTTCTAAAATCGGTGAACTCTTTTTTAAATCAGTTAAGTTTTTTCAAGATCGATGAACTTTTTGAAAAAAGTGATGAACTATATTTCAAAACTGATGAACTTTTTTCAGATTCGATAAACTTTTTTTTTGAAACCGATGAACTTTTTTCAAAATTGATGAAGTTTTTTTCAAATTTGTGAACTTTTTTCTAAATATAATGATTTTGTTTTCAAAAAAATGATTTTTTTCCAAAATAAATTCAGAAATCTAAGTGGTACTATGTAACAAATAGCACCACTGCGATGGTTCTTAAAGTGTTCGCATTGTTATCAAGCAGTAGCATTCTGAAGGTGTAGTGGTTTGCTGAACAATCACTACAAAATTTAATGTTTATGAAATTGATTTGAAATATGACAAGACAATTAAATACAAACTAGTTCAATATATCCAGTATTGATCTTGTTTTGAAGGTCTTGCTGCTTGGAATTAAAATACATATAAAAATGGAGTTTTGCTTCAAATACACAGATCATCCAAAATGTCACATTGAAATAAAATACAAGTCAAATTCATTGAATAGTCCATTATCCACTCTCTCACTCTGTTTCCTGAAAAAGCCGAGAAAAGTTGACAAAATTGTTGCATTCTTCTCTCCATCTTGTTGAAATGGTTTCTCAGATTATGCCCCAAAACTTTGCATGAACCTCAATGTTGAAATCAATGTTAGATGCCACTCGGCTATATGGAAGCTCCTCCAGATTTTCCAAGTTGGTGACTTACCCGTGTTCATGCAGAAAACTATGGTCGAAGATTTGCTGGCGGTGGATAATCAACTAGTATGTCTTGAAGCATTTGATGGTACTTCGCCTCTATTCTTAGCCGTCTCGCTGGGCCAACATTGGCTTGCTAGTTGGTTGTACGAATGGGGTCATAAGAAATTGTCTTACTCTGGCCCCGAGGGGCAAAATGCCTTGCATGCTGCTGCTCTCGACGGGTTTCGGCACAACACAGGTGTGTATGTATGTATGCACTACTAATTTACATATAATTTTCTACTCCAACATGAACAACATCATACCTAGCTAGATGAGTTAAAATATGGATGATAGAAATCATATATTATACTTCTGAAACGGATTTTGTGATGGCTCCTCTATTTATATGTAGGGCTGGGATGACACAAATCCACTTTTTTCTAGGATTCATACTTTATTTTTGGGACTAATGCAATACTTTCCCTATTCCAAAATATAGTATTTCTGATTGTTTTTTTTCATAGTCAAACTTCATAATGTTTGACCAAGTTTATAGATAAAATATTAACATTAAAAATACCTGATAAATACAATATATAAATATGTTTCACCATGTGTCTAATGATATTTATTTGGCATTGTAGATGTACATATTTTTCCTATAAGTTTGTCAAGCTTGACTTTTCAAAACAATTTATGCGCACTATATTTTGGAATGGAGGAAGTACTAAAGAAATATTAAACTAGATACATATACAAAAACGGTTTTTTTTGCAACGAGTATAGCCACCACATGTTCTTATCCAAGTTGTTTTCTCTTGTATTGTCACTCCATGGCACCATCCCTTCCACGGTAATAGGGTTGGTTTTCATCAGCAAAATTTAGAGTTTGCACCTCTATTGAACTAAATATTGAATTTATGATCTATTTTGACGATTGTCTTTATTGTAATAAAACCCAAGACCAATATTTATTTCCTACGTCTCTATTCACATTGCACCCTTTTCTTTCATGATATAACTTTGAATACTAAGTTGACAAAAATAATAGATAATTTGTGTGACACAGAAAAATATGGTTAGATATACGTTTTGAATATGGATTCTTGATGTAACTTTTGGAGCACATAACCCATATTTCATTGGTCAAACTGATTGCCAACTTGAACCTCGAAATATACGGGTCCTGTGTAAACTAAGTTGCACCAGAGTTGTATATATTAGTAAAATTTCCTTTTTCTTCTGTAACCATAATATTTTAAATGACAATTCCACATATTTGTCATATAATACTTCTAAGTTCCACTAGACTATCATAGCAGTAATACAAGTGTCATAGAAGTATCATTATGGTATTGTAGTAGTACTATAATTAATAACATCGTCAATATCCATTACACCTGAGAAATGTACGATTAACTTAATAGTGTCATATAGGTACCTTAGGAGTATCACATGATGACTCTACTAGTGTCATTGCACTTTCAAATCAATTAGAATCTAATGAATATCATCATGCAATTTTCATATGTTTGGTGAATCTCTATATATGTTTCATTCCATAAATACTTTCTTATGAAAAATAATAGAAAATGATCTTCCTTCAAAACAATCTTTGTGTTCAAAAGTTACATGAAACTTACCGGAGGTTATCATGGGTGAATCAATTAATGTAATCTATATTCATTATATAATCTATAATTATTATATATTTGGTACAAAGACAATTATTAATTGGAAATTACATATTAGAGAGCCACCATACCATCCGTTAAGATTTTGCTTGCCTGTTCCACATACCGAATAAAAGGTTAAATGAGACAATATTGAATGTGCTTCATGTGTGTCGCAGATTTCAGCATGATTTATATAAAAAGTACTATTTTGTGAATATATTAAATCTCTTTCATGTTATTATGTTTAATTTAATATCAAAGAAGATACGATAAATATGAAATTACCATTAAAAAATATGTAAATGATTTAATATTTTACATGATATTTAGAGAATAAATAAGCCAGTCTCATGTGGGTGCAGCCGTTGATGGCTATAATAATTAGCTATGGATATTGATGTAAACATCAAGATTTGTTATACTGTTCCTTACATTTTATTGCTAATTTATTAATTAATATCTCAAATCAGAGAATCAATTTATACCCAATAACCATTTATAAGATTGGTGAACTTAACCCCATTTGAGCATTGTTACAACGTCATTACTAAAAATCTCTTTTTTATATAACAATTATACATTAAATATGTAGATAGATGGTAACTGATTTATATAGCTTATGCACTGGATATACAATTTGAATAAATCCATGATTATGTAAAACTTACTTAGTAAGTTACCTATATAACCCTTTATGTAGTTTGAGTTTATTTGAAGTCGATAAATTGTTTGGGAAATTCTTTAGATATCCCTTTATCACATATTAAAATGTACTTACTAAGTTATAAAGATACCCCTTTATCACATATGGTAAATTACCTACCATGTATACCAAGCTCTTTTTATCACATTGTTTTGACTATATTATTAATGTCTAAGATGTCTCAATTAATGTGAACTTGCATAAAACATGCATTGGGGTCCCCTAATCATTGTGTATATACCCATGTGTGTGTGTTAAGGAAAGACATATACATAAGATTAAATATCGGGCTCCTAATTTATGTTTGTTTCTTTCCCATTAGTGTATCTTCTAGTTAGAATTAGAGTGTATCCATGGCGATAAAATGGTACTAATTGAAGAACTGGAGTGGTATATGCGGTGCAAGTACATCTAACCATGTGCGCACGAAAAAGGTCCCAATATAAATGGATATCATATTTTTCTAGAATTTTAGTTTTCTAAAGAAAGTTGTATTCCCAAAGGAAAGCTGATAGCTAGTATAATAGCATTTGATCAACATTAGAATAAATATATCCACCCATAAATTATGATTATTCTAATGAGATATCTTGATTTTGATGTCAAATATGTTGTTGTTGAGTTGTATCATACAAATCAATATAAATTTGTCAATTTGTTATAAAGCTGTAGACGAAATTACTATTTTATTGCTTTTTCTACATGAGTTGAAAAAGGCAATAACATTTGTGAATTTTCTGCCAATAAAATCGTACTTATACGTTAACACATAATAACTTACCCTACTCTTCAGAGAATGTTTTTCTATGCCATAAGGGTAATTTATTTAACTTTTGTTATGATTTCCAAATTTAGAATTTTCTATGGATATATGTTTCCAAAGAACACATTGGCTTTTACTTCTACCTTTGTCTAATATCTGAATAATATCATAACGTCAGTAAGCCAATAACTGCAGGGATAGCAAAACGGCTGCTTCACTGGAACAATAGCCTTGCCAGACAAGCGGACAACTCTGGAAGTACACCATTACACTTTGCTGCGTCAGCACAAGATCCCACATTGGAGTTATTTCTGTTCGTTTTTGGTGACCAGGGCTTCGAATCACACTCTCCCTTGTCGCTCACCACTTTACCTAAGAAATGGGTATACAAGTTCTATAAGTGGAGGGAGCATCCAACCTTTCTACTGGTGGATGCTAATCCACATTCCGCATTTCAGCCAGATAGGAATAGTTTGTATCCGGTGCATGTGGCTGCCTCGGCGGGAAGCTTGGTGCCTATCATCATATTGCTCTGCCATTCCCCTGGCTGCGCCGGGCTACGAGACAACCAAGGAAGGACCTTCCTTCATATTGCCGTGGAGAAGAAGAAGCATAACATTGTGTGGTTTGTGGCTCGCCGGTTAGATAATAAGGCCATCATGAACATACAGGACTACAACGGGAACACTGCCATGCACCTAGCTGTTGGTGGCGGGAGCTGGGATATCTTCAAGATCCTCATTGGGAACAAGCACGTCTGCTTGAATTTGACAAATAAGGAGGGTGAAACTCCCATGGATATTGCACTCAGCAACGTTACTCCAACTGGATTTTATTTTGGAATGGTACTTAACTTGCTCCTACTGTTTGGATTTGTCCCTTACATATGAAATTTATAATAGATAGATAAATGCATGTTATATGAAAAAACAATTGATGATGAATTCCTATTGTGTTTGCTTGTTCTTGCTTGCATGCAGCATGCACGACGTCGAATACTTGTGACATTGACCTTAGCAAATGGTAAAAACAGCTTCTGCCGGCGGGACCTTTTCCTGGATCAACATGTTCCCAAGCTAAACGAGAAGGAAGAATCTGATAAAATAACGTCCTTCGCACAGATTGTTGGTGTCGGCTCCGTTCTCGTAGCGACTGCGACGTTCGCTGCAACATTCACCATGCCAGGCGGTCCCAACAGTACCGATCCCAAGATCCCACCCAACGGCAGAGGTGGCACTCCGACACTCGCGGGGCTCTACGCTTTCGACGCCTTTGTCATCTCTAACACCCTGGCCTTCATCTGCTCCACTTTGGCAACCTTCAGCCTCGTCTACACTGGGGTGGCCACGGTGGACATAGAGAAGCGGATCAAGCTGGTGGCCTTCTCCCTGGCGCTGCTGATCAGTGCGGCCAGGAGCTTCTGCGCTGCCTTCGCGTTCGCCATCTACGTGATGCTACCTCCCACGGTGGCCCATGGGACTGCCATGGCAGCATGCGTAATGACGGTCCTTGCACTAATGGACGCGTTCTGGTTCATGTGGGCCATTGTGACTGATACAATAGTTCTTGTTAGGAGGGAAGACTGGCGGTCAATGCCCAAGCGACTGATGAAGCTGGCGGCAAGAATCCTAATCAACACTGTGTATGTGTTCTGGCCCTACATCGTCATCTTCGGTCTGTTGGCCATCAAAAGCATCACTGGCCGTCAAGAGACCTCAGCACCTGCAGGAACACCCACCCAAGGGCTATAAGATTGATCAAAGAATGCTTCCTTTATCAAAAAGAATAGGATTGATCACAATGGCTTATCAAGAAGCCACGGCAAGCTAGACAAACTCACCTTAATTAACTTTGTTGACTTATGCACCCTTCCTGATCGTCCCATATGTTCATTTTCAGAACAAATTGTTTTCAACTCTGAGAAGAATGTGTGTTTATTTTGTTTTATCATGGTATGTAAGCATGTGATAAATTTGTTCAACAGTATGTAAGCTTCTGCTCATGCTCTGTCGTGGTAATTTTCTGTCTTCTACTAGCTAGTATAGACTTTCAACTTGAACAATTTTTGAATTGTGTGTATTTCTTACATTTTATGTCATTTGCATGGTATGCATTTATTGTATTGTATGTAGGTGTGAAACCCAATGAAGTGATATTGAAGTTTATACTAATTTATATGCAACTACTATAAATTTTATCTAGGAATGATATTTTGTATTAATACCAACTTGGATACATGGTTGTTTTAATAATATTGGAAGTTCTAGAGGATAAAAATATACAGAAAAATGCTAAATTGTTCATCTTTTTTCACTTGGACGATAAGACATCCATCTGCATTATGCGTCTCTTTTTCTGCTTGACACACCCAAGAGCAAGATTGCATGAAAAAATAAACAATCTTTCATGCAATCCTTTTACTTTATTCAAATCTCACCTTTTTTGTAACTTTCTCACAAAACCACGTTGCCACCACACTGCCGCAGTGTCACTTGGAGGTTGTGCAGTGGAGGCTCCTAGGGCTATAGGAATAATGTTGTTGAGTCAGTTCGGTTTGAGATAACACAACAGAGAAATGGTTATATATGTACCAAGAGTGATGTTTATCTGAATGGATAAAAAATAATTAAACTCAAACATTATTACCTTATGAACATTTATATTCTAGAATGAAACTGTTAGAATAAATCCGAGGTGCACCGTCAATCTACCGAGGACCAAGCAATCACACAAGCGTGACACCGAGATTTGTTAACGAGGTTCACCATCATGGCTACGTCCCCGGGGCCTGACTATGGGCGTTCCTCCCCATGACACCGCTACAATACCGCACCCTGGCCGCCCGGGCGCCGGCACACGCCGCCGGCTCCCCCACGTGACTGTGCTATTATGTTGGCATAGGTTACATCGTGTGTCTACCCCTGATATATATAAGAGGCCTAGGATATAGGTGTCCTATTAGGACATAACTCCTACCCTGTCTACACATAGTTCAAAACCAAGTCCAACTGTAATCTACCTTGTACAATAATATTCGACACAATTCTAACAAACTCCACCTTGGCGAATATTCTTCACCACCTTAAATTCATCCATGCATCGAACCTCCATGTACATTGGACTTGAGATACGCCATGAGCACCACTGCTACTCCCAGACTCAATGTGACTCCACCTGCAACTTGTAGTCCCTTCTTTTCTTGATCACAGTCAACACTCGAGCAAAATTAAGTTCCTTGTTACTCTAGTCTGTGCTCCCAACTTCCGGAGAATCCGTTCAACGCCATCACACACCGACTACTGTCCGCGTGAAAGTGAACAACTCACGTATTTGACGCCACATATAGGAGTTACCTGAACTCAACATCACCGCTCTTTCTTGACCGTCTGTCTGAAACTTGAAGGAATTTCACCGTCGCCTTGTGTCACCCCGAGTCAAATTCGCAGTTGTCTCACCCTTTTTCCCAGAATAGTCTCTAGCACGTCTCACAGCTATAGCACTCCGCCTCCTCCTGTACTTGGCATACGCACTTTGCCATGTGCACTGAACACCACAGAATATACGATCATGTACTCTCTCAGCTTTTGATAATTTCAGACTTTCCGTCACTTTCTCAGATTCCCTATGGTACACTCTCATCCATCTGACATGTCAAACTCGATAGATCTAGTCACCAACTTGAACCTGGTACTCGCCAACATTGCTTCAGCACCCTTTGCACACTTTGTCTGACCACATGTTTGACCACCAGTGCCTTGGCCTGTCGCTGTGTCCCGTGCTTACCGCACGCCTCGCCGCTATCACCGCGTCGAGCCTCTGCTGTCCTGGTCGAGTCTCCTGGGTAGCTAGCTCCCACTGCCTCAACCCCCACTGCAGAGAACCACCGATCATCACCGACCGATGCCGAGTATCACGCCTCCATCAGACCATTGGGCCCCAGTCCGATACACGTGTCTCTCGCTATCGCGCTGAAATAGGTTTCGATTCTCCGATCTTACACCGTAGCCCCTCCATCAGCACCGAGTGAAGTCTTCTGCCAGACTCCATTTCCACCTTCAACATGACTATGTAGCTGGTCGTGCTACCCCTGCGCCCCGTCGACTTCAAGCTCTCATGTGTGCACCATCTTGAATCAACCCCGCGCCATAGTCCGTCGAAGCCGCACAAGCCCTCAGGTCTGCACCACGTGTTTCCACGCCTCAGAAGTCGGCCACCATCAGCATCACGCTCCTATATCATCGTCGCTGAAATCACCGCCATCTTCTACTTTGACCGACATCCCCGTCGATCCGTCAGACAGTCCAGTCCGACCCAGCCGAAATTATCTGACTGCAACGACGCTCCACCTTGTGTCGTGTCCGCCCCGCACATCTCTGTGCATTGCTTAACGCCCTGTGTATACATGATCCTTCAACAACACGCTCCAGACTCCTTCGAGCCTTATACGCACGTTGCCTCTTGCCACACAATGTCCATCTTGATCAACTTGACATGCTGCTACTCCATCAAGCATATCCGTCGCACAAACAATTCCTGGAACACTTGAATTCAGGCAGCCTGTCAATGTAAGCATTAACCTAAAATACCAACTTCCATCGACCTGTACTGGACCCGCAACTCCTGCGCCTCGATTACCATCCGGCCGCAGCCGAAACAATACCTACACGCTGCCATCTCCATACAAGACCATGTACCAAGAAAAAGAGCCAATAAAATCCCACGTAGCTTAGTTTTTCCTATGTCCATGCAAAAATCATCTTGATGTACACCACACCAAGCTTAGACTTTATTCCATGACTCTCCTGCTCCTGATTGCAACGTGTTGGCTCTTGACGCTCCTTTTTCCTTAACAAATCTCTCGCTCTCTACAGCATACAGACATACGCTTCGCAGCCTCCAGCACACACACGCGCCTGTGGTAGTCACCGATGGACTAGCTACCATGTTCTCTCACGGCCCAACCTGCCCACCAGCCATGACTCCGCTGGCGCCCCGTGGGCCTCCGCCCACGCATGGCCTGGCTCGGCCAGCCCCTCCTGGGCCAGCCTACCAGCACGGGCTGTAGTACGCCTAGTCGACTGCTTCGAATCCGATCTCGCCGAGACTTCCGACGCTAGGATTCCGCCGCTGCCTCTATCAATCTCCGAATCGATCTCGCCGACGCCACTCGCTGCTGACTTCGTTCTGTCCGCCGGAACCAATATGCCACCGCGTGCTTCTTGATTCGCTTCTTGTACTCATCCGCTTCAAGATCGATTTCTCATCCGCCTATGGCACTCCTTCGGTGACATCTTTCCTGCGAACAACTGATCGAAGCCGAATTTTCTTCCTCCTCTAGATCAACACCACAGCCTCAAATCGAGCCTTGCTCATGATACCACTTGTTAGAATAAATCCGAGGTGCACCGTCAATCTACCGAGGACCAAGCAATCACACAAGCATGACACCGAGATTTGTTAACGAGGTTCACCATCATGGCTACGTCCCCGGGGCCTGACTACGGGCGCTCCTCCCCATGACACCGCTACAATACCACACCCCGGCCGCCCGGGCGCCGGCACACGCCGCCGGCTCCCCCGCGTGACTGTGCTATTATGTTGGCATAGGTTACATCGTGTGTCTACCCCTGATATATATGAGAGGCCTAGGATACAGGTGTCCTATTAGGACACAACTCCTACCCTATCTACACACAGTTCAAAACCAAGTCCAACTATAACGTACCTTGTACAATAATATTCGACACAATTCTAACAGGAACTGGGTGAGGCGATGGAACTGTGCCGAGGGCAGGCGAGATGGGACAAGGGTGACTGGGTGAGGTGGGTCGGTGCAGATGAGATTAATACGGGATTTTGAACTAACGTGGGTTACAAGGTGACGAGGCAAGAAAGACGGGCTCGTACTCGTTTGGACGGGATTGATGGATTTCGGAAGCAATTCAGCCGTGAGATTGAAAACGCATCAACGTCGCTTGAAAACGCATCAACGTCGCTGGACTGGTCTGACGAATGCCTCCTATCACACATAGGATAGAAAGTGTTTCCCATACTTAATGACCAGTCCCGCATGTTGCCCTGGAATCTGTAAGCCTGGGATAGTTCCCTGCTCCTTCCATATTGTTTGTAGCTTTCACTGCCTTAAGCCAATCCACAAGATGTTCCATACGAACAGAAGCACACGATGAGAATCTCGCAAACAAAAAGAAGTACAAAGCAAGAAAAAGAGTATTTAACAAAAACTACCACATTTCATGAAAACATGTCCAGAAACTATCATTTTACGAATTTATGTCAAAAACTACCATTTTTTTGCTAATCTGTGACTAAAAACTTCTATGTCAGGAAAGTGCCAGATTCGCCTCTTATAAACGCCTTTCTGACAGAATGGGCTCATAAGTCAGATTGACCGCTAACTTTGACCGTTATTACAAATGAGGCCCACACATCAACCCTATTCTTCCTCCTCTTTCTCCTTTTCTTTGGCATTTCTACAAACACCTTGTGTGCACCTGCAAGCCACCTCCGCCGCCGACCATTCCCGGCGTTCACTCACGCACGAGGCGCACACGTTCGCGGCGGCTGCGGCTACACGCACGGCTGTTAGTGGCTGCCGCCGGTACCGCCACCGCAGCAGCATCATCCGGGGGCAGAATACACCACCTGGTCCAGCGACAAGAAGATCAAAGTCGGCGACACCCTCGGTTAGTGCATGCCGGCCACGTACTTTTCTAGTAGTAACATTTTCCTC